CTGCTGCTGCCCGGCGAGCTGGCCAAGCACGCCGTCTCGGAGGGCACCAAGGCCGTCACCAAGTACACCAGCTCCAAGTAGACGCGCTTGCCCCGCTTCCTCAACCGACCCAAAGGCTCTTTTAAGAGCCGCCTACCTTCTCAACAGAAGAGCTGCTCTCTTTCCTTCTAATCTAAATAAAAAATAGCCAGGCTAGTTTATACATGAGTGCTATCTCGGTTTCCACTCATAGGTAAGATTTGCTGTGGCCTGTTTGTATTTCCTCTTAGCTGGTAGATCCCCCTGCTTTAATTTTCCTTCGTCTTGGGGAGCCCCCAAAATTATACCAATGCCTGTTTCATACAAACTTGAGCATTTAGGTAGAAAAATCTTTATATAGAGTTATCAAATAGACTATTACAGCAAAATGTTCCTCTAAAATGATAGTTTTATGACTTCCCCCCACTAAGGAAGAAAGGGAGGGAAAAGCCCACTTGAGTTGTTTGATATTGCCCTAACTTATTTTTTTCCTATGTGAAAGGGCTTCATTTTTTGCAGCACCCTGAAAACTTCACAGTTGCTGCTCTTTAGCCGATATTCCACTCAGTAATTAAACCCAGAAGATTATGACGTTGTTTATTGGCTAGTTGTTTAGCTTTTTTTTCACGAGCAAAAGTAGCTTTATGTTCCCAAAGGCCCTAAATGTTCACCTGTTCTTGAAAGGTTGGGAGTAAAATGTTTCTCTTGCTCCTGGTCTAATTTGTCTGGAAGCATCAGGTTGTTGAAAGTTGTCTCCAGTTCTCTCCTTAACAAAGTATAACAATGTTCTTTCAGACAGTTGGTTTTTGTTAGAATCTAAAGAATGCAGAACAGGAATGTCTTTAAGGGTGGGCTTTTCTATCCTGACAGGAAGAGTGTGAGACTCTTTAATTTCAGACTGTACTGCTGGGTTATTTTTGTTACCTTTAACAGATACAGAAATAGGTAGGCACAATTAAAAAAATACTTGTCCCTTTTTCTTTCCCTTCATCTTCTTCCCATTAATGATCAATCCTCAGATTAAAAATGTGCAATAAACAATGTCCATTATGTGGATTTCCTAAACAGACTGGACAATGCAAGTTTGTATTTTTTTAAATTCCTAAACAATAAATTGTGGTTTGTGTCAATCATGGTTTAAACCTAATGTTTAAGTTAGTTTAGATTGTTTAGGCCAGTGTTTCTCAATCTTGGCAACTTTAAGATGTGTGAACATCTTAACGTTTTTAAGATTGAGAAACACTGGTTTAGAGCACAGTAGCTTCATTCCCATGTCACTCTTTCCATATAATAGGAATGGAACCAAAGTACAGAGTTTCTGGATCTCCTTTTCAATCCGTTTACTACTTAACCATTGGTGTGGTGGCCAAGCTCCTATCTCAGGCCTCCTTCAAAGGATAGTGGCGGGAGACTTTTTTTGGCTGCAGAAGGATGGTTGTTAGCTTGGTAGGCTGTGTGTGCACACCATATTGCATCCAAACCATGATTAACTGGGTGCTTACAACAGCTTGAATCATCCCACTGAAGGACTGGGGTGGGATCTGAGTAATTAGCTGGCCACTATTATGTTTGCATCCCTGCCTTTCTTACTAGAGGACACTTAAGCTGCTTACAACAGTGAAGCTATTTTGCTGTGCAGTGTTCCTGAGTGTTGGGGAAGGTAGCTACAGTACCTCCCTTTGTTTCATTCACATTACGATCCTTGCGGTTTCTTCACGCTGGCATGCATGAACCTGCAGACGATTCAGGAAAGTCCTGCTTTAAAAAAAAAAAAAAATCTGTCCAGTGTATGCCTCTAATTCACAAAGGCTGATGGTGGACTAAGCGCTTTATAACCAGTGCAAAATCAAATCTAGTGGCTGACACGTCTAGCAGCTTTATTTTTAATCCTTTTAATTTTCGTGGGGAAAAAAAAATTGACGCGTCCCTGGGTGGGCTCGAACCACCAACCTTTCGGTTAACAGCCGAACGCGCTAACCGATTGCGCCACAGAGACTGGCTTGTAAAACGGCCACGCGTTTAGCAGGAACTTTTACCCAAGACTTGAAAGGAAAACGAAATGGGACAGCATTGCGATCTTAAAGGAAAATCATTCCAATGCCGGTGAATCAAACTAAAGACCCCGAAACTTATGAAAAAGAGCTCCCAGTTTCTTTCATTTTTATTTCCTTACATTTGAAAACCAAAGGGATAACAAGGAAACTGATGTTCGTGAACCTTCACACATTTCCCTCATTTCTGTTATTGCTGGAAGGCTTTAGGCAGACATCCTGTCTCCCAAAGTGTCGAGGCCATAAAGATATGGGAGGAAG